GGGATTGGCCCTTATGAAATCCGAGCCGGGCCCGGACCCGTGGTCAACGGGTTTGATCGGGCCGGGTCCGGGCCGGGTCGGCGGGCCGGTTGACCCGTGGCCATGTCTAGTGGCAGACATAGGAGTAATAGCAGGTTTAGAAGCTAAAAAACCAGTGTCAGAGAGGATATCAAGTGCATACTTTCTTTGACACATGTTTATGCCTTTATCAAAGTGGGCAAATTCTAAACCAAGAATGTATTTCAGTTTTCCAAGATCTTTTATAGTAAAACAGGAATGTAAATGATGTTTAACTGATTCAATATCTGTCAGATTATTACCAGCAAGGATGACATCATCAACATAAACAAGTAAGGCCATAAAAGAAGAGGTATCAGAGTTAAACATAGTAAATAGAGAGCAACTAGCAGTAGATTGTTTAAAACCATAAGAAATCAGACAAGAGGTATGTTTTTGAAACTATTGCCTAGAGGCTTGTTTCAAACCATAAAGACTTTTGACCAATTTACACACCTTGTTACCAGAACAGTAACCTGGGGGAGGAGTCATATAAACTTCCTCCTCTAAATCACCATGTAAGAAAGCATTGTTGACATCCAATTGATGGATGTACCAATTTTTAATGGAAGACAATGCAATTAAAAATCTGACAGTTGAAATCTTTGCTATAGGAGAAAAAGTTTCAAAATAGTCAATTCCTTCTTCCTGTGTGTAACCCTTAGCTACTAGTCTAGCTTTGTACCTTTCTATACTACCATCTGAATTATACTTGATTTTGTAAACCCACTTACACCCTATGCAATGCTTACCATTAGGTAAATCGGTTAAAATCCATGTGTTTGTTTTTTCTAAAGCATCTAATTCTTTTTGCATCGCAGCTTGCCATAAAGGATTTTTAGCAGCTTGGGTGGAAGTTTTTGGTTCAATATTTTCAGAAATGGCAGCAGTGAAGCCAGAATGTTCAGTAGAAAGCTGAGTAGTAGATAAGTAAGATGAGATGGGGTATTTAGGGAATTTCCCAGTTGTGCAGAAAGATGTGTTAGAAGAAGAGTTTGGAATGGAATGATCATAAATTCTGAGGTAAGAGGGAGGTTTAGAAACTCTGGATGATTTTCTTCTGGGTGGGGATGTATGAGGAGATGTATTTTGAAGATTTGTAAGGGATGGTGGTGATGATAGTTGGATAGTTGTGTTTGTAAGGGTTGTAAGAGAAGGAACAGACATTGTAACAGGTGATGTATTGGA